TAACAAAGAAACAGAATTTCTGGAGGATGAGGCCCAGAAACCAGGATTTTAAAAAGATTCCCAGGTGATTCTAATGTGCAGCCAAGGTTGAGAACCACCGGTTTAGAGAGATCCTTCGGTAGCGGCTGGACGATTCCCTGTTAGGGCTGAGATAGAAGGGATGGTTCCTAGGCCCGTGTTCATACTGGTGAGCCCAGCATTGCAATTCTGTATTCTTTCTGGTTCCTGGTCAAATATTGAAGAAGGCTGGATCTGTGTCTTTTCACATCTGTTTCCACCTGGGGCGCCTCCTCCTTTCACTTCAAAGGCCCTCCCGCTGCCCCCGCTGCAGTCCCCCTCCCAGCCCACCCTCCTGGGTCCTCTGTGCCTGCATCCTTTCTGGTTCTCACGCATCAGAAGTTCCTATGTCCTATCTCCTCGCTATCCATCTAACTAATTAGGCAGCTCATCTGTGCTGATGTCTAAGTGGGTGGATTTCAAGGGGTCAGTGGGTAACTGCTCCAGGGCATTCATAGGGTAAGGAGGGGGACGGGGGATGGGGGGGGGAGGAAGTCCAGAGACCTGCCTTGACCCGAGGAAGTGACTATAACTAGGAGGAGAGGGGAACCTGGAAGCAAACACAACAAATCCCAAAGTTCATCTCAAGTGACTCAGCCTACAGGTGGGACACTCTGTCGGTCCGAAGCCAACCCTCCCTGATCCCCAACACACACCACTGGGCACTCTCACTGCCCCCTCCCGGCCGGAGCCAGCCACAGGTCCTAAGGGGCCACCGATTGCTTAAAGGGGCGCGCGCACACTCACGCATTGCCTGCAGGTTAAATTTTGTGTCTTGCAAGACCATTTCCAAGGGTATGAAGGTGCTGTTGTGATTCGTAAACTCATGTACGCTCTTCGGCTGGATTCCTACTCTTTATACCTTCAAGGTCACTTGTCACAGCGGACAGCCGACATCAGTGGGACTCATGGACCAGGTGGGCCTTGAATGAAGAGGCTTCATGGAACGTGTTCCTAATACCCTATTAGGCGGTGGGGGGAAGCGGCTCACAGAGACACAGCGGGAGCCCGTGTTTGTAAATACACGGGGAGAAAGGACGGCCAAGCCACAGCACACAATGCATAGTGGCAGATGTGCAGGCTAGCTTACGTCGTCTCTCTGCGCTCCTCTCTTTTCTCAATATTCTACCAGGAATCTGTCACTTAAACCTAGATGATATGCAAGGAGACGGACCCTCGAGGAGGAAAAGAGTAAGAGAGTTCCCCTCAGCCCCCGCCTGACCTGCTGCGGAGGTGGAGGGGGGAACAGACACGGGGTTCTGGGACCTGCCTGGCTCAGCCCCCCGGTTCTGGAGCTGGGTGGGCATGCACACAGCCTGGGCAGCGGAGGGACAGGGGGCTCTGGGCCACAGGGTCGCTCAGAGGGGCCCTCAAAGGCAGCCCAAGGAGCCCTGGCCAGTTTGGCTCAGTGGATAGAACATCGGCCTGCGGACTCAGGGTTCCCAGGTTTAATTCCAGTCAAGGGCATGTGCCTTGGTTGCGGGCACATCCCCAGTGGGAAGTGTGCAGGAGGCAGCTGATCGATGTTTCTCTCGCATTGATGTTTCTAAATCTCTACCTCTCTCCCTTCCTCTTTGTAAAACATCAATAAAATATATTTTTTTTAAAAAAGGCAGCCCAAGGAGACAGGAAATGCTCCAGCCACCATGGGGGTCTTGGGCAGCCCCCATCACCCCCCACCCCCCGCCATCAATCTCTCTTGCACCCACATTGGCCTCTTCGGGGCAAAAAGGCTTTGGCTCAGATGAATAAAAGAAACCCCAACCCCGTGCTCTCATTCCGGTCCTGGGGAATGAAAGTCTCTATCAATCAGTCTCTCATCGGCCGGCGGCGCGGCTCTTTATACCTTCAAGGCCCTTTATTTCGCTCAGCTGGCGAATTCCTCCGACAATTACAGCCTTTGACGAGCCTGCCAGGCTGCCGCGGGCATGCGGGCAACTTGTCCTTCACATGCTGCCGGCGGGAGGCAGGCCAGGCCCCCTTCCAGGGCAGGACAGATGACGGGCGATGGTGGCGGGGAAGCTGCCTGCACTGCCCAGGCCCCTACCCGCTGCCCTGAGGGCCACCGCTGCTCTGAAGCCAGATGGGGACCGGGCCTGCATCTGGGAGACAGGCTGAGCCTGAGGGTGTCTGGGAGGAACGTGTGGCCGGGACCCCTACCCAGTTGCTCCCAGGAGTGGGAGCTGGTGGGCTCTGGGTGGATGGGCTGCCTCAGTCTCCCCGAGCAGCAGTGTGGGACCCGGGCCTGGGAGGGACGGTGCCTGCTATGCCCCTGCCAGCTGCTCTCTGCTCCCGGCGGGGAAGGAGCCGGCTCCCAACACCTGCCGGAGAAGGTCCCTGCGGAGCGGCTGTGGCCGGCAGCGACAGCAGGGCCCGGTTGGAACTGCAGGTGTGAAGGGGATGACAGGTGACGCGATGATTTGTGTGTTTCTGGGTGAGAGGCTGGGCCCTTAATGGATGACATGCCCTTCAGTCCGCTGCTCCTGGCTCGGGAGCTTGACATCATTAGCAGAGCATCTTCCCCTGCCCGGGCAAGCTCCAAGGCCGGGCGGGCCTCCTGGCAGGGGCAGGGACCTGGCCAGCCAGCCAGTGCCATGTGGAGGCCGATCCCCACAGTGGCCTGGGGGACTGGCCCCGGGGTCAGCGAAGCCCGAAGGTCTGGGCTAGTCAGCAGCCAGCTTCATCCCCTGTGGAGAGCGGCTACAGTGTTTGGACAGGTTCAAGCCTCGGACTAATGAGGGCACAGTCCTCTCATGGCCGCGTGCAAGTCCCACGTTCTGAGACCGAGCTCGTTAAGGAGCTCCTTAACTCAAATTATTCTGTCAACTCAATGCAAAAAATCGGCCAGAGACACCTGGTATCTCAAAAAACTCGTTAATCGGGACACTCGTAAGTCAAGGACCCACTGTAGTTGTAAGCTTGAACCTATGGTCCGAACACGTGGCCCCACGTGCCTGAGTGATGTGGGCTTGATAGAGTTCAGGTGCATGTAATTGAGTAGATTAGAACATTGTAAACATCTTGACCACACCCTTACTTTATCTCATGGAATCTGGCTATAAAATAAAGACACGGCTTGTAGTCCGTGGCGCTGTCTCTCTCCATCAGGGCAGCGTCCCGCTGAGACTCAGCTTTCATTCTCTTGTCTGTCTTTTCTCAGTCCTTCACCACCCCCTCTCAGGCTCACCGAACCTGGCTGAGCTGGCGGGGCACATAAGGCGCCCAATGTGGGGCTGAGTATGCCATGGCCGTGCTGGCTCGCCACACCTGTTTGGCTGTAGCTGGTTTAAGGATGACCCCTAAGAGATATGGCCATGTCCCCCCCTTATTTGGCTGTGACCTTATTTGGGGAAAGGGCCCTTTGCATGTGATTAAATTAAGGATCTTGCAATCAAGAGATCAACCTGGATGAGCTGGGAGGGCCCTAAGTCCAATGACAAATGTCCTTAGAGGAGACCCAGACACAGAGGAGAAGCCATGGGAAGACAGATGCGGCCATTGGCCTTGAACCTGAGACAATACAATATGGCCAATCAAGAGGAGGTTGAGTGCTGGCCAGGAATGGAAGTCTTTGGTCTGTAACAGTGTGCCCAGGTGGAGGGGCCTGGGGCCCACGGCAAGCCCTCTGCTGTAGGTGCAGGACATGCAGCCAATCCCCCTGAGAGGCAGCTGATGTTCCCATTGGGGATGAAGCTGGCTGCTGACTAGCCCAGAC